TCTCTCTCTCTCTCTCTCTCTCTTCCTCCCCGCTTACCCGTCTCAAAGTGTTCTCCTTTTCCAGAATTAGAAAAACTCCAGCTAAGGGATTCTCCTTTCGCTTTTGCCTATTGTGGTTTGCCTAATGAAATGATTTTGATCCTTTGAAATGAGCGATGAGAAGAGTGGGTGTTTGATTCAATTCTTCTGAAGGGGCATGATGAGTTTCAGCATGGCTTGAAATGTCACAACCTTACGTGTTTGTGGGAGGAGACAGGAAATAGCAGACATACCTGGGCGTTGTATATGCTTCACATTACAACATGTCAGTCAGCAAACTGGACTCCTGTCTTATATCTTCATCATCCTGTTATCTTCTTAACTAGATGTATAATATGTTAAACATATATGGAAATTCATGAAAATTTGGCCTTAACTTCCATTTAAGTTGATTTTGAAATTGTTGTTCAAGCATTGACATTGAAATTAAAGTAGACTGTAGCCTATTTATTTTCTTAAAGGGATATTTCACCCAAAAATTTTAATTCTGTCATTATTCACTGACCTTCAAGTTGATCCAAACTTGTATGAGTTTCATCTGTTGAACACAAAAGAAGATCATTTGAAGAATGTTGGTAATCAAACAGTTGCTGGTAGCCATTGACGTCTATAGTATAGTGGAAAAATACTATGGAATTAATGGCTACCAGCAACTGTTTGGTTACCAACATTCTTCAAAATATCTTCTATTTCTTTACAACAGGAAGATCATTTCAAAAGAGGCGTAAGTTATTACATTTAAATGAAAGATTATGAACACATACTGAGAAATCTTACTCAATTAGAACACAGGTATTAAGTATATTTATTGAACATGTATTAAGAAAGTAACTTAAAGCTTGACAGATAAACCTATGTTTGACCAGTTAATTCATAGATGTTTTTAAATGACAATAAATGTCATTTTTCAAATTGTTGTAAAATTTGGCCAAAGTTTGGTCTAAAACATTTTAGCAATTTGCATATTGTCAACAAAAAATGTTTAAAAAATAAGACAATAATATTATAAATAATATAATAAAAAACTAAATTTTACTGAGAATGGTCTAAAATCAAAAAATTATGGTGAAATATTTACTAAGTTAAAGAACTTTATTGTTAAAAGTAAAAGAAAAGAGTTCAGTGACTTTCCATGTGCAATTCTGTACTAGTTAACATTTTTATTATATGTTGCTTGTGTGCAATGTATAATACTTTGTGTTACATCATCCGTGTTTCAAGTTGTTTTGCAGATCGGATATCCGTATCGGCACCCAAATTTTGCATCTGTGCTTCTCTAGTAGTCAATGTCATCTAAGTTGACTGTGGGTCTGCTCTCAAATTGTGACTCAAAGAGGAACTGACCCATTTTGTGGCTGTTTTTCATTCTTGATGTCTGGATGGGAACTCAGAGCGGCTAATGATAGTAGAAGAACAGAAGACTGAAGCAAACTAAATGCTAGGTTACAGTAGGGTTGTGACAGTGAGGAAATTTTCCCACCGGTTAATCGATGTGTGACAATACCGGTATCACTGTAGCGTATATATAAAACATAGAACTTTTATTAACAAAACAAATAAAAATACACCATGCTATAGGGAAAGCTATGCCTAATATAAAATAACAAATAACTTTATATAATAACATAAAGTTTAATAGGTATACACAACTGGAAACAAGTAAACATGTATAATATATAACCAAATAAATAAGAAACGTAGAACGTTTATTAGCAAAACGAGTAAGAAAGCTTGGAGGCACGACATACACCTTGATGTCAAATAAAATAAATAAATGACACAAAGTTTAAATAAAGTAAAATTCAGCAAACAATGTGGAACCAATTAAATAAGAAACGAATTTTTAAAAAAAAACTTCCAAAATCACCTTAGATAAACGGCAAAAGTCAGCAGGCTTTTCAAAATCCAAAATACTGCCAAACAGGCGCTTTTGCATCTAGTTTCGAAACTAAATCATCCGCCATCATCTTGTCTGTCTCCCCTCACTCTTCTTGTCAGTCAGCTCGACTCTCTCCTCACTGGAGAAATTAATTCTGATCTGTGTGATGCGACTGTTGTTCGGCACGCTGTATTGAGCAGCCGCGTTCAGTTTTTAACTGTAGTGTCTGTTCTTTTGCTGAACTAAATTATTTTTATTACTATAAAAAAAGCAAAACGACGGTGGGGGTCGGTGACGCGGTGGGCAAGTGACGTAACCGGTGTTGCGGCTTAACACCGGTATCACCGTCAACACCATCTATCGCGGCAAGCCTAGGTTACAGCTGTGTTTGTCTCTGTGGCTTTAAAACACACTGAAGCTACTGAAGCTCAGGCCAATCAAAAGCTTTTACAGTGTTTGGGGTGAATTATTTACTACTAAAACTATTTTAACTTCTTGTTTTTAGCTGCACTGTCTAAAAATATAACACTTGTACATCCGTTTTGATGTCTGTTTTTGGATCAGAAGGTACCTTTTAAATGTTCTACAATGTTATTTGACCTGTTTCAGTTACATTTCCTGTCACATATGTCAGTCTGGCCCACTCACTAGCCTGTTAGCTCAGATACAGTTTTAGACTTGGCGCCTCACTGATGTGCGGTTTATGATCTAATTCAGTACAAGCTTTCACTCAACCAGATTTTTCCTGAAAGGTATAAACCTGAACTCAGATGTGGAGTTGTACTTTTAAATCATCGCTTAACGCAACCCCAGAATGGTTTTTGGCCAGAGTTAGCTCTTAATAACTGTGCTTTTCAACTCTTTGATCGTATAACTGCAGGCTCAAGACGTAATCTTTCAGCTGTGTAACTCCAGTATCAATGTTTACATAGTCTGTCTTTGTACGTTTGTAAGTCTGTTAGCATAAACGTGCCTTTCTGTGTGTGTGCTCACATGCTGGTTAACAGCGCGTGCTTCACGTCCTTGCATGGACAAGAGAAACTAACTGGATATGAATTGTCCAGAGCGTTTACACTCACACAGGCGAAGAGAGGGAGCCGCTAGCAGTGGAAGAGAGAGCGTGGAATATTATTTCCTGTGTTTCCTGCGCTGGTTTCCGCAGTCCGCCCCTCTGCTGCTTCATTTGTGTGTCAGAGCGCTGCTGAGTGATGTGATAAGAGTCACCACAGATAGCTCTCTTACAGCTCTCCTTTCTTCATTGTCCTGCTTTTAAATTTTTTTCCCACTTTCTTGCTTTCTTGTTAATTTCCTGTTGTCTTGCCCTGTTTTAGCTTCCTTTCTTTCCAACTTTCCAACTCCTGTTTTTCTCGGTTTCTTCCTTACACTATTCCTTCTTTCTTTCCTTTTTTTCCCAGATTCCTCCTTTTTTCATGTTTTTTCCTTTAAAGCTTACTTTCTGTTCAATCTTCCTGTCTTTCCTAGTTTCTTTCTTTCTTTCCTACTTTTACCATTCTGTCCCATTTTCTTCCTATTCTGCTTCATTCTGCACTTTCTTTTCCTTCCTTTGCTTCCTTTTCACTTTCTTCCTTTTTCTGTTTTTCCCTCTTCTTTTTCAGATTATTTTCCAACTTTCTTTCTGTCTTTCCCAGGTTTCTTCCTGTTACTCTTCCTTTCTTTGCTGTTCTTTCTTTCTTTCTTTCCTTGCCTCTTTCCTTTCTTTCCGCTTCCATTTTTCCTGCTAGCTTTCTTTCTTTCCCCATTTTTCCTTTTCTGCTTCCTTTTTTCCCATTTTCCCCACTACTCATTCTTTCCTCTTCCTTTATAGCTTTCTGTTTTTCCCAGTTTCTTCCTGTCTTGCTTTTATGCCGCTTTCTTTCCTGCTTTGTTTGTCACTTTCCTTGCCTTGCCTTGCCTTGCATGCATTCTTTCTTTTTCCCCTCCTTCCTTCCTTGAAATGTGCAGTTTGGCCCGAAATAAAGAACATTCTGGAATTCCCAATGGGAAGCTCAGGACTCAAGGTCCAATTTTATTTTGTTTATTTGAGGAGGGGGGGCTTCCTGTTTATTTGTCTTTAACCCCTTCAGTTTTGACTAAGCCACCATTTGACTGTGTGTGTGGTCTGGTCTGTTCCGGCAGGACATTGTGAGTAGTTCCAGCAGCTACCCTAAGTTTAGCCACACTACTGGCTTTATTATTTACCCAGAGACTTCCTACTGTAGTGCACAAACCCAGGCCTTCAACAAACACTTCATTATTGAAGACAAAAGCTTACAGCTAATTACTGTGAGGATGAGCACGAGCACAAGCTGCATTGCCTTCGTTTATTTATAGCACACTCTCAGCAGTTGCGTTCAGTGGTTTAATAGTAATTCATTCACATGTGCTCTCAGTAGCAGCACTAATGCACAGGCTCTGATCTGATCACAGTGTTGTTATTGTAACTTTAGGGTGACCGTCGACTGTAAGTGTGAGTTTTGCTGCGGTTTTGAAAAGGAAATAGGAAGGCCTGAGAACGGATCTCGGACTCAAACAGAGGGGGGTGGGGGGGTACATGATCTGGAGGAAAGGGCCAGTTAACGGCTGTTTATATTTAACTGGCTGGAGACAGACAGCTGAGAGCGGGATCACTAGCCTGACTGGAGACAGTTTACCACCAAACACTGCAGCAAAAAATTGTGCCTTGATTTAAACTGTGCCTTGATCACCCAATAACGAAACTTCTGTCATTATTTCCAAACATGTATGCATGTATTCAAACATTTAGTTTTAACATGAACTAAAAAACTTCATGATGCATATTTGTCAGTCATACATAAATTAAACAAGCAAGATATTAGACTGTTTTAACATGAACTATTATGTTAAAAATGTATAATCTAAATGGATGAAAATTTTAAATGCAGTGATTGTGTGTGTGTGGATTTCTTATTTTATTTTTTAAAATAAGTATTCATGTGATAATTATGATACACTACTGACTCTAAATATGCTGACGTGTGTTTATTTCTTGCAGGGATGATCACGGGTTCAGTCCGTTGCACTGGGCGTGCCGTGAGGGCCGTTCAGGTGTCGTGGATATGCTCATCATGAGAGGGGCGCGCATCAATGTCATGAACCGCGGCGACGACACACCCCTGCACCTGGCTGCGAGCCACGGCCACCGTGACATTCTGGCCAAGGTGCAAACTGATTGTAGTGGATAAACGCTCACAAACACACACACACGCCTGCACCTGAACAACCACAGTGACCACAACGGTCACAGAAAGGTGTAAACAAACACACAGCTGCTAACAGCAGTTATAAATACCCACACATATAGGCCTGTCACGATAACAACTTTTTGTTGTGCGATATATTGCCCCAGAAGGAATTGTGATAAGCGATATTATTGTCATTTTAAAGACCATTTTATGCCACTGAATATATAATCATAATGTAATTGCATAATAATGCAAGAAGGGCCTACACACTTCCAAATGACAACAAACTTTTAATTTTTAAGAATATTTTGATCATGGAAATTAAGTATCAAAATATTAGATACCTTCAAAAACTTGAATAAATAGTAAATAAACATTTTCTAACAAAAAGTGCAAAGTAACAAGTACAAAAAAAAAGAAAAATGCACAAAGAACTTGTATGGAGATTTTTCCATCTACAGATTTTTCCCTGACCTTCTTTTTTCTGTAAATTAAGGGTGCACACTATTGCTGAAAAAAACAGTCACTACTTAGCAGTCAGATCCCTAAACAAGACCATATCTGCAGATGAAACTTTTTTTGTTGAAGCATTTTTTAAATTTGAACTAGCACTTCATGATTACACCACGTTATGTATGAGAAGCTGCAAAAGACACAGGCGCAAGTGGAATGTAAAAAACACGGTGACAATCATTTTTAAGTAAATATAATGGCCGATATATTGCGTCACCAAAAATGATTGAGGTCATGTACATATATTGCGCGATAAGTCGATATATTGATTATTGCGACAGGCCTACACACATACAAACTTTAAACACTTAAAAAGGAATACGGAACTGACAATTTCCATTTTATGCCTTTTAGTTCCATAAAAAGCATTTTGAATGAATCTTTTTGTATTTGCTGTTTTGGGTACTGAATCATATTGTTTGTGTTGTCTAGCTGATCCAGTGTAAAGCAGATACCAATGCAGCAAACGAGCACGGCAACACCCCTCTCCATTACGCCTGCTTCTGGGCCCACGACCTGGTGGCAGAGGTTAGTTTGAAGCTCCCTCTGCTGGGATAAATGAGAAACTCTCGATTGTTTGGATGTTGTTTTCCATGCAGTTATAATGAATGGGGACTAGAGCTTTCAAACACTATAACATTATCATAAAAGTGGTTCACATGGTTCTTGTGCACTATATTTTTCTGTAGTCTTCTGAATCCATATGATAATATAGTGTGGGGAAAATACATAAATTGATTTAAGTGAAAGAAAGATATTTTTTTCAAATTTTTAAGTTCTTTACCATAAACACAAAATTGGATTTTGGTCTGTTCCTCACATAAAGCTTTAGTACGTTTTCAGAAGACTTGGAATATAGCACACAAATATAGCATCATATTAACCACTTCCGTGTAATTTTTATTGACATAATTTCTGAAGCACAGTAGTTCCAGTTCATTTTTATTGTATCTAAAACTGTGTTGTTATTATTAACTAAGAATAAAACTATTAAAATCACTTTTGTCAATTGAAAGAAAGCTGAAATAAAGTACAATACAAATATTAGATGAAAAAATAAATGATGGAAATATTAAAGGGAAATAAAAAAAAGAATACAAATTACACATGCAAACAAACGTACTAAATCTTATTACTAGAATTAAAATGGAAACTAAATATATAAAAATAATAGCTAATTCAAAAAGTATAACATAAATAGTACAATGGTATATACTAGGGTTGTGCGATATGGACAAAAAAAACCTATCTCGATTTCTTTGATCAATTTTGCGATTTCGATTTTAAAAAATCGTGCTGTAAAGCGATTTAGAAATCGCGCAAGCTCAAATCGCGATTTTATGACGATTTCGATTAATCGCACAGCCCTAGTATATACATAATACTAAAATAACACTGATCGGAAAGGACAAACACTACATTACCTTTTTTCCTTTAACATTTGAGCAGAATTACCTTTGAAATGTTTAAACATTGACATTCAGTGCTATTCAAAAAATAACAATGCCATTTTAATCATAGCAAATATGTTATCGTTCATATTCTCTCCAGGATCTGGTCAATAATGGTGCTCAGGTGTGCATCTGCAACAAGTATGGAGAAACTCCACTAGACAAGGCCAAACCACCGCTTGCCGCACATCTGAAAGGTAAACTGTTTCTTTAATAATGTAGCAAATGTAATGTAAGCTGTAGATTTGTTGGAAGGGCTGTTTGCTAACATTGCCTCAAAGATTTCTTTCTGTTATAATATGTTCCATCAGCCCTAATAATTCTGTTGTGTTTATGAATCAGAGCTGGGGGAAAAACAGGGACAAAGCCTGACCAAAGTTCCTTTCAAGGACACTTTCTGGAAGGGAACCACTCGAACGCGACCACGTAAGCACCCTCAGAACATCTGATTCTCATTTACATTCATAACGTAGATGCTTTGGCAAACAAGCATTTTAATGTCATTCAGCGTAACGGTGTATAGATTGCCTTATGAAATTATATGAATTGTCCACAACTGAGGTTTGATTATTGTATATTTTTTCCCATGATGCCTGCAGGTAATGGCACACTAAATAAACATGCTGGCATAGATTATAAGCAGCTTTCCATGCTGGCCAAGATCAACGAGAACCACTCTGGGGAGGTAAGCTCATGTACCAAACCAAACCACAATAAGTACCCATTTATTCCCAGTGTTTATGGCAACACTGATGTCTCTGCTCTCTCTCTGGCAGCTGTGGCAGGGCCGCTGGCAGGGCACAGAGATTGTGGTCAAGATGCTGCATGTACGGGACTGGACTACAAGAAAGAGCCGTGACTTTAATGAGGAGTACCCTAAACTAAGGTGATGAACCGCCAGTCCAGTGTGCCCACATTACACATTAAAGAGACAGTTTGCACAAAAATTAATATTGTCATCAGGTACTCACCTCATGTCGTTCCAAATCAGGGTAAATATAGTTAACTAAATCCCTAAAAAAAACATTTTTGTTAACTGAAATAAAATATAAAAGAAATGTTCTTTTAATTATTTATTTTTAACTTGATGTACTGAAATATCTAAAACTGAAAACATAAAAAAATAGACAAAAAAAATAATAAAAATGACTAAATTACTAAAACTTGAACTAAAATTTAAATGAAAACTAAAAATATAAAGAAAAAAACATTCAAAATAGTAATAAAAACTATAATAGTAGTTTTATGTAATTTTATTGATACTAAAATAACACTGTTCCAAATCTGTATTGCTTACTATCTTCTGAAGGCCCTAGTCACACTTGAATGGAGCCAGAGCATAAAAAGCAACAAAAAAATCCATGACTCGTGCACTGAAGTCATATGATAGCTTTGTGTGACAAACATAACACAATTTAAGTTGCCATTCACTGCTAATTTGCTGCAACTGGATCATTAAAAATCATTCAGGCTGATTTTGAACGGAATCAACTGATTTCAGACTCAAGATTAGACTCAAAAGAGTGATTAGTTCACAAAGTTGGCTGATTTGGAACTAGAATTGTAAGAATATCAGATTTTCACGACACGATTATCATGGACTAAAGAATTTGTGATAATATATTGCGATCTATTCCCGCTAAAATGTCATTTAAAAAAGGGGAAAATCTTGGTGAAGTTTTTAATCTGTGAAATGTCTCCATCATGTTTGTGGTCTGTTGTTTCTGTGTGTTCATGTGTCCCTCTCCACCTTGGTGTTTCCCCTGTTGTAGAATCTTCTCCCACCCAAACGTGTTGCCCATGTTGGGGGCGTGTCAGTCTCCACCTGCCCCTCATCCAATCATAATTACACACTGGATGCCCTATGGCTCCCTTTACAATGTGCTTCACGAGGGGACCAGTGAGTAAAACACATGTCTCACACAGACCATTTGGTGTTTGTTAGCTTCATTTGAATGTTATTGAATGTTAGAAATATGCTTAATTGCTCTTTCAATTCTGGACATGACATAAAAGAGGAAGTCTTTTTTTCTGACTCATCATGAAGTTAAACCTAATTCTTAAATTTAACTTGAATTTAAGTTAAACCCACTCAATCCTTCTCCTGTATCTTCCTCGTTCTTTTGTCCATCTAGACTTTGTTGTGGATCAGACGCAAGCAGTGAAGTTTGCTTTGGATATAGCGTGTGGAATGGCTTTCCTGCACACACTGGAGCCCATGATCCCTCGGCATTATCTCAACAGCAAGAGCATCATGGTGAGGAACTTAAAGCAGACATTTCCTGTTAATCTTGGTTTCTACAACTTTGGGTTTTTTCCAGAGTGTCTATTCCTGTTCTACAAGAGAGCATGAAGATGTGTAGTTACGAGCATAGCTCTAGATTCATTTCCACAGACTTTAGATACTCAGGGTTAACCGGTGATTGCAAAATACAAGTTCAAGGTTTGTTTATTTGCTGTCATGGTATGTGAAACTGATTCAGTGGAACTTGCCCTCCATAAATTTAGTCTCAGTGGATAGACCACTGTGAACAGGAACTGCCACAAACAGTCTCAGTTCTCTGTGAAGTTTCTGTGCATCCCGTCACTAGTTCAGAGTTTCACATTGTGGAGTAATGCAGTGAAAGTACATTCTTTGGTAGTGTTTTTTTTATTGCCTCTTAAAAGTTTTGGAGTAACAGACATCAATGGTCTGTAATGTCCAATGGAAAAGTCAAAATGTAAAGGTCACGATCAGTTTAAAGCACAATGGTCAAGTAAAGCCAAGCCCCAACCAAACGACTTCTCAAAATGCTAATAGCTGTACTGGTCACATTACATTACACACCAGCAAAAACCTGAGCTTGTCCTAACTGACTGTTTCATGCTAACATCCTAATGAATCCGTTCTCATTGATTCATTGACATCAGATTGATGAAGACATGACAGCCAGGATAAGCATGGCAGATGTGAAGTTCTCCTTCCAGTGTCCCGGCAGGATGTACTCTCCCGCATGGGTGGCACCTGAAGGTACTGTTCCTTTCCTTCACTCTCTGAATTCGTAATTTCAAACTTCAAGAAGATTTTACATTATCCACTTTATTTGTCTAAGGTATGATCACATTAGTGAAATTTCTATGAATTTTCTCAGGCAAAAAAAGTTTCATTGTCTATTGTCAGTTGTGTAGCAATCAGTCGTGAAGCACAGCTCACACAAAAGTCACATTCAAACCAAGCAGCTTTCTGTCGGTCAACGCTGCAATTCTGTATGACCAGCTTGAACCCATTGTGAAATTTTGCCCAAAATTTACAAACGCGTGGATTCCTTTTGAAATGACTGGATTTTACCTGTGGAAATTTGCAGAACAGAGGTAAATGTGACTGCACCTTAAACAGGACATTTTGATTCACTGATAGCTTAACATCTCGCTTCACGTCTCGTCTCAGCCCTGCAGAAGAAGCCAGAGGAGATTAACCGGCGCTCTGCAGATATGTGGAGTTTCGCTGTGTTGCTCTGGGAGCTCGTCACCAGAGAGGTGCCCTTCGCTGACCTCTCAAACATGGAGATTGGCATGAAGGTGAGACGATTCTATGACTTTGGAAAGCAAGAGCCGAACCAAAAAGTTTTGGGGTGCTTGGGGCAAAAATAAACAAAAATGCTCCCCAAATTGAAGATACAGTGGCAAAAAATGCCCCCGCAAAGTTAAACTAAAATTATTACGGCCGTCACCATTCTTGTGAGAGTGCTGAACTCAGTGAACTTGCAATGAACTCATTAAGCACTTCAGTCATGGGGAATATTCTTTGCTCGCTTTCTGAATAAAATTTATTCCCAAATTCGTTACTAAGATAACCAGTGTGAAGAGGTATATAATGAATTCTGTTAACCAACATTACTAATCATTATTACAATATCAAGGGCAGTAATTGACAATGATTTTTGTTATAATATTCCAACCTTTCACTGTTGCTATTCTGATTGGTTGATTGATTTAATTAATTTATTTAAATATTTGACAAAAGTTCAAATGCACCAGGAAATCACTTGTAAGTGGCAACTGTTGACTCTTAAAGGAATAGTTCGCCCAAAATGAAAATTTGCTGAAAATTTACTCTCCTTCAGGCCATTCAAAATGTTGATAAGTTTGTTTCTTCATTTGGAATAGAAATTTAACATTACATCACTTGCTCACCAGTGGTTCCTCAGCAGTGAATTCACAGCAGGAAAATTCATTTCTGACCCTGGCTATCCCTTCTCTCTTCATTAGGTGGCACTAGAGGGACTGCGGCCCACCATCCCGCCGGGCATTTCGCCCCACATCTGCAAGCTAATGAAAATCTGCATGAACGAGGACCCTGCCAAGAGGCCCAAATTTGACATGATTGTGCCCATCCTTGAGAAGATGCAAGACAAATGAAACGGCCCTGCTGGACGACCCCCGCAAACACTGAGTTCACAGTATTGCCTTAAAATTCACCACTCACCAAAGTGCTCTATGCCACTGTAGCCCTCTGCTAAAGAAAAATGCTTTGTGGAAACGCTGTTGAACATTTTTAAAAGCCATGTTCTCATTATCGCCTATATTCTTATATGCAATCATTGAATAATGACATGTGTTTGTGCATATAAATGTTCATCAGTCCTTTTCTATAGCCATTAAACAGGAAGTGGTGGCCGCAACAGTCCTTGGACGCAGTGAATGTACAGTAAAATTAGTTTTCAAATCCACTCCCACATTTTATGCATCCTTTTGCTCATTTCACTCCGTTAAAAAGACATCACAGGTCATTTCATCAGCTTAAAATCAAAATAATTTGCAAATGTGTATACAACAGCCATTGTTAGTATTTAAAGCATCGTGCCATTGTCTTTCACTGTGCGTTTTCTTTGGATTGTCCCTGAAAATAAAAGTCGATAGGCTGAGTTTGCCTGAGATTTGTTTAAAAAAAAAAAAACGCTACAATAATGCAATGGCTAATGCCAGTTTTATGCCTTATGCAAAAAATTAACCAAAATATGAAGTGCCCATAATATCATGATTGTACTGTCTCTCTCATAGCAGGGAGATACATATTATAAAAACATGTGATGTTAGATTAAGGTACCATATGTTCAAAGGAAGAGCCATTTACACACGTCACATCAAATGCGAGAACTCGCTTGCCACATGCATGATGAGTCATGTCTCTTCTCCTTGCTCCAGAAATCTACATATTGACTTGATCCATACAAATGCATGATTGCTACGTCCTCTGTTGTTACTAACACTCCTCCTGCTCCTGTATTCTAATTTACATTACATGTTAAGCATGTTACATCTGAGAGATTTTTTATACTGTATACAAATATTAGTGTTTTTTCATGGGCGTTACATTAGGGAGCCCATGAGTGCCTTTATTTTTTTGCTTTTCTAAACACTACATCTATTTCCTTCTTTATTTTGCTTTTACTGTGTTCCTCTTTTCAGCTAGCCATTGTATAATAGGAAACCAAGAGACGAAAACAAGCATACTTGACATGCATAAATGTATCCTTTTTTATTTCAGTGTTTCTTTTTACGTTTTGAAAAGCAAACAGCGATGATAATGAAAAACAGACTGATTATCTAACTTATGCTCACTGTTTTCTGACCCTGTGAGGTTTTTAATGAAACTTTATGTGGCTTTTCTTTATTCTTTATTTTGGAGATTTGGGCTGTTTATATTTTATTCATGATAACTAAAGTTTACTAAAGGAAAATAAGAACAAATAAAATGTTTTGGCCATGCTAAATGCTTCAATCTGTGTCGGTCATAAAATTAATTATTGGGTTGTTGACATGAAATAATATAAAGCAATGCCAGCAGTGTGTTGCGATGTGATATGCTATAAGCTACTTCTAAATAAAGGGCTTTTTAATTTTTTTTAATTTTTGTATAATTATTCAATGGAGTCATGAATAGCATTTTTATTTACCTGAACAATATATATGTGTGTCTATATCTATCTGACTACCTGTATATACAGGTGCATCTCAATAAATTAGAATGTCGTGGAACCAGAAGGCCAACAATTCACTAAAAATGTTTTTTTTATTGGTCTTATGAAGTATTCTAATTTGTTGAGATAGTGAATTGGTGGGTTTTTGTTAAATGTGAGCCAAAATCATCACAATTAAAAAAACCAAAGACTTAAACTTTGAAGTTTAAGTCTTGAAGTTAAAAATGGTTTAACTTTTCCATGACATTCTAATGTATTGAGATGCACCTGTATATTCGTATAAAAGTAAAATTTGAAGGTCATGTTTTTGGTTACGTCACATTACAAAATTCCTGAATGATAGTTACACACGTTTTTTCAAATGGCAATATTATTTTTAAACAAAACTGCTTCACTTACAATATTTTAAAGCGTATGCCATCCATTTTTGTCTTTTAAGAGGTTTTTGTTTTGCTTTTTCCATATACAATCTCTGGGCAGTCTATATTTGAATAATTTAATAGAATAGACGTCGAATTATTGTACAACATACTAATATATAAAATATTATTTTAGTTTCATGTTTACAAAAGCGATTGGCCACGTGATTTATCAGCTGCGTTGTCAACATGTCACGTGATCCGTCAGCTGACGGTATATAAACTGGTCAGTCGCCCGGGACGTGTATTGTCCTTTTGTACAGTCTATGTATTGTCAAAACAGACAAGTGACGGACTCCTCAAAACACAGATTAGTATTCACAACCGCCTTAAAAGACGCGGATTCGCGTTATTTTGATTCTTGTTTTATTTATACATACAGCCCAAGCGTAAACACTACTTATATTTAAAGACGGTAAAGACTTCACATGTTCTTCCGGGGGATTGATGAGAGTTTACCACTGCAGTGTAGCTCATCACGCGTCCAGGATGAAGCGTCCAGTGTTTGGGGTCTGCGCTGTTTTCACAGTCTGGATTTTGTTTTCGGCGCCGTCGGGTTCCTCATACCCTCTTGAAGTAGGAACAGAATCGGCCAAGCTGAGTTTCGTGGAGGTTGGTCAGCTTCAGCTCGGGTTCAGCTGGCGCAACATGTCCTGCGCGGTGTGTGAAGCGATCTTCGCCACGGTTGACATCGCGCTGCTGGTGAGACAAACCTCTGCTTATTGTCTATTATAAATTCCCCTGGCTTTATGTTGTAATAGAAGTCGCCTTATTTGCTGTCATTTGCAAAAATGCTGTCATCGTAGACTGAAAAAACGTTATAACT